GTAATTTAAGGACAAGTGTAATACATGTGTATTGTTTTTTTCAGAAATTAGCACTGACCTAAGAAGCATTCATCATTAAAATGTAACTTTTTTTCACTACCTCATACTGTTTATTTTGAATAGTTAGTTTGAGCGATTAAGCGTAAGCGCAAGAAGTGTACTAAAGGAAGTCTTTACGATATCTCGAGTAAATGCAGCAATCAAAATTGACGCTAATCACGGTACTTCTGACCTGACCTATGGTAAAACCTTTCGAACTGGCGTTGCTGCAACCGCGTACATAAAGAATTACTGTTTTAATCACAATCGACAGTGCAAGGTGAAGAAGAGTAGTGGAAGAAGCAAGACATATGTATGCCCACAAGCTGGGTGCCCGTGGGAAGTACGTGTGACGAAGCGAGAATGGACGGGTGGATCTTTCGAGTGTTATGTTTCTACGTTTATTGACAGCCAATCCGATGTATGCACGGCGATCAGCAAAATATCATCTCAGCGAATTTAACTACTACTGCCAGCTTTTGATGCCCCTGTTCGAGGTGACAAGGGTATCAAGCGTAAGTCAATTGTGGCGCTAGTACGGGCTCGTGATGGCACTAATCTGTAGCAGTATCAGAACAAGATTTATAGAGCCAAGGATGCGGTGGTTGATGACATGGAAGGTGATAGAAATCCTCTTTCCCGCTCCTTGCCTCACACTTGATGGAGTTGAGGCGCATCAATCCAGACAGCACTGTGTCACTTGACGTAGACCAACACAATCGATTTTTTCGATTTTTTGTGGCATTCGGAGTTGCCGTCCGCAGCCACTCTTTCAATATACCGGTGGTTGGCTTTCATGGCACCCATTCCCGTCACAGAAAGTGTAATGGCGTAATACTTTCCCTGATTGGACGAGACGGTAACGGAAAAAACGTCAAGCTTGCAACCGCATTTGTTCACGTAGAAAACAAGGACAACATTGCGTGGTTTCTTCATTCAGTGTATTGACGCTGAAATTAATTTCATGAATGTCGCTATCATGTGTGATCGTGGAAAAATACAAGAAGCCGTTAAACTAGTGTGGATAAGAACGGGAATCAGCGTTTAGATTTGTTTCTGCACGATTCATTTATTGAGTAATGTCAAGCGCAACTTTGGCTGTTCAGGAAGCGAGCTTGAGAATGCAGTGTGGAAACTTCAGTCTGCAGAGACAAAGTCTGACTACAATGAAGCTCTCATGGCATTTAGTAATATTTTGGAGGTGGATGTGGCCACGTACATTAAAGATGTCAACCCGATTTACTGGACAGTCTTTTTTAATACGCCGATGCATGATGTTGATGATGAGGCAAGCACGCTTTCGAGTTATGTGACTAGTGACGAAACAAACAGGCTCACCAAAAACCACTCCCACGATAACAACATGCCACCGATAACACCATGCCCACTTTTTGGATGGCGCACTACCAATTTTGTTAAGACTGATAGCAACAAGATTCTCGTCAATGGTATTCATGATGCTACACCGCTGGAGGCAATACGAATTTTGACAAAGACGGCTGTGGACAAGTTTAGTATGCGTCAAGATGAGATCGTGAAATGGACAGTTCAAGAGCTTAAAGTGACTCCTCGTGCGCGAGCGCCATGGAAAAAAGAACAAAAGGCTGCGGGCAATTATGAAGTATCACGATCAGCTCCTGGGGTATGGTTCGCTTCAAAGCAAGGCTATGCAAAATTTCGGCAGGTTGAGACTGAAGCGTTAAAGTGTTCTTGCTCAATCTTTACTCAAATGGGATCGCCTCGCCGCCACATCGTTGCAGTGTTGCATACTATTGGGTCCACGATCGATGTAACTTCAGCTTTTCATCCTTCGTACCTTGTAAAGAGCTTCAATCAAGGCTTCGAGAGAAGGACTATAGAAGTTATTGTCAGCATAAAACCCCCTTCAGTTTTAATAAACCCACCACCTTACTACAAGCAGGCTGGGCGTTGACAAAAAAGACGTATTGGCAGCTCAGGGGATACAAAACCTGTAGCTACCTACAACTGCCGGTCTTGCAAGCAAGCGGTACACAACTGTAAAACATGTCGCCGCCCTTTGGATGCCGCTGACGAAAGAATTGATTCATTTGTTGCACATCCAATGGACTTGGGTAACATGTTGAGCTTTTTAATTCCAGTGCTACAAGTGACTACAAGTACCGTGGTGCCTCGAACCACTCTAGTCGGGCGCCACGCAAAAGGGTCCATTACATTTTTACTGAATTGAAAGTGCTGTGTGTAGCTACGCACTGCACCTTGTCTATCGAATGCATATTTACATACAGGTTCAACAATGTCTTTGAATATGAATCATAAATCAACTTTTCATTTTCAGCTGCCGTACGTTTCAAGTTTGACTTGGAGAATTGACTATGTAGCGACTTTTGAAAACAATCTAAAAGAAAAAACTAATGTACCACGAATTTAAAAAGATAAATTTGCTCATTACATCATCGTTTGATACACCTAACAAAATTTAGCTTGCTCGATACACCACAATTCATGCATGTTTCCATCGCTAAACTCCACACTCTACATGACCAGCACACTCGACACTACTCGATACAACTCAACATCACTTAATACCACTCGACACCCATCGACACCACTTGGAACCACTCGACGCCGCTCGATATCACTCGACGCCACTTGACAGCACTCGACACCACTTGACACCACTTGAAACCACACGACATCACTGGAAATCACTCGTCACCACTTGAAACCACTCGACGCCGCTGACATCACTCGACATCACTTGGTACCACTCCACATCACTCGTCACGACTTAATACCACTCGAAATCACTCGACATCACTTGAAACGCACTGAAACACATACACGCAGACAAATCATACGATCGTTGTACAGCACAGTCGACATCAACAGCATGATTACCTGCTACCGCTGCTCATGAGAGGTGATATAATAACGGAGTACCCCGGCCACGAGCTCGTCGGGTGCGTGCGACCGGGCCCTGGCTCGCACGCAATGTGCCCAACCCAAAATGGGCACATCGGCTCGTGGGCACAAACTGAGAAGTAAACGAACCATTGGTAAAAATAGAGCGTTTTTCGACCACTCGCGACAGTTGTCTAAAAAATGGAGAGACTCATTAGTGATCAGGAAGTTTCTTTTCCCATGTTGCAGTTGAGCATGATGTGGCTAACACTATGCTAGTTTGCATACTTAACCCAAGTATAAAATAGATAAATTTAGACTTGATTAAACTATAGTCCTGGTTTTGGGACTTTTGGACATTTGTGGTAATGATAATGAGATTTGCTCTTATATCAAGAGCTCGGAGTTCTCCTGAGGATAACACTCGAATATCCACACGTTTAAAAAGTAATTACGAAGCACATACTGTGCTTCTTATTATATGTAAGTAGTCTACTGTGCAGCACGATGTCGATCTTTTAAGTCTTATAGCCTGCAAATGAACATCATCATCGTGTCCTATTTGTCGGCAGTCAGCATAGCCGTCACGAACGCTTTCGATAGCTCGGCCTGAATTACCAGGACTCGCGATGGATCATCAAGTACACCGGACGGCTCTTGACTAGTACTTGTCCGTGCATTCAACGACACTCAACCGTTATTTAATCACCAGCATCGGCAAAAGCATCACGAAGTTATCTTACCAGTCCGTCAACGCCGCGTCCGTTGATCATCGGAGTTTCTCACTGATCCCGCGTACTCGTCTTTGATTCAAGCTTTAAGGAATTCGGCTCGTGCGTGCCAAAGTTCGGTATGTAAGAGTTCATACTGCGCCTGTTTCATGCAGTCGACGTTTCTTCACGGAAGCATGAATGTGGATTTGCCTTCAATATGGCCGCCGTGTATTTTCTTCTTGGAGATGCCCATGGGACATCAGTTGAGTATGTGAGCAAGCCACAAAAAGTGCGACGTCTTGGCCATTATGTTAGCAAAGGTATGCCGTCTTTCAATATCACCAGGGACTTCTTTAAGAAAGCGTCTTTCGGTGACTCCGATTGCCGTAGTGGACTGACACGTTGCGGTTCCGTGCACTCTAAAGAAAATCAAGACAGTACGAGCAGCACTTGTAGTGCAACGGGGCACCGGAATAAGCACTCTGGACAACTTGTGGGGAGCTACTATCACTGAAAGCAGCGTGAAGGTGCCTTGCTACCGATGTTATTCGGCAGAGGAAGTAAAAGTAACTAGGAAAAGAAATGTACAGTTTCTAATAGAAATAAAACTGTAACAAATGTAAATAAGTCCCAATCATTAGCCTGTCATTTGGTCCTAACTTTATTATGTTTATCTTTTTAAATGTGCGTTAAGGTCTTGCTCACCACTCATTGCACGCGTCCGTAATCGATTGGATGGATATAGTTGGCTGATATTTATAGTCCATGTCAACCAATACATAAATTTTTTAAAGTACGATTCTACTTGGTCATGTATATGAACATTATCAACATTTATGATAATATTTTTTTTAACCAGTATCAATATTATTCACAAGCAACAGACTCACCCTGTAACGGGGTAACACGTTATATGATATTGACACCAAACGGTGTCAATAGGGAGATTGTCTAGCGTGACAATATCCTACCAATGTTATCCGAGATGGATAATATCAGATGGAACGCTATCCTCCTTGTAGAGTAATATTCATGCGCTGCTTCAAGATTGGTTGATAAAGACATATCAACCAAGGTTACCACCAATCGCTGCTAGACGCGCGCAATGAGTGGTGAGCAGGTTGTCTTCATACGACGACGTAGTTTAACACAGTTAAATAAAGATTAAAGTTATATTGATAGCTTAACGATGTTAAATACAGTTCTCTTTTAACCCTTACTTGAACGAGTCGTTCAAGTAGATTAGCTTCCTCTGCACGTACTAGTGTACGTGAAGTTTCGTGGCACCCAGACAGAAAGTTCCCGTTACATCTGGTAGCACTTCGTAGTCCGTCCAAAGACTACTTAGTGTCCGTCTAACAGAACATGTTGGAAGTAGAAGACGACAGCTTTCACGTCACACGTGAAGGCTACTCCCACCTGAGTGACTCAGAATGGGAGGTAGTCGGCCGCATGAGTGTGCTCATGGGCGAACCCGCCATCAGTGGTATGTTGGAGTCTCTAAGCAGAGACCAGCAAGATGCTGCTATCAACAAGTTCCTACAAGGGAAAATTGCCTTCGAACGACGGAAGATATCCTTGCTACAGCAGCAAGGCTCTCATCAGTCGATGGGCGGGCCGACGCACATGCGTCGACCCGAAACCTTGAAGATTGATATCTCAAGCTACAAGGAACGATGAAGATTTCCTTTTTAGATGGTTCGTCGAGTTCGACGACGCCATCAGGGCCCGTCACATTGAGGATGACGAGATGCAAGTCACTTTCGACCTGTAAAATTTGACGGGACGAGCAAAGACTTGGGCCTTAGGGCTCAAGCTTCACGGCCCAAACGTGTTTGAGTCGTTGGAGATCTTGAAGTCTCAGCTTAAAGAGACGTTTGAGCCGCCACAAGCCGAGTTCAGAGCACGCTCTGCACTCTTGAGGCTAAAGCAAGGTAAGCATGACGTCCAAGCTTACGCGCAGCACCTGCGCTACCTTGCGAGTAGCGTTACGGAAAACCCTGTTGATAAGCACAAGCTCATCAACGTGTTCATCTACGGCCTTGTGGATGGGCCGGTGAAGACCTACATGTTCTATGAGGACTTCAATACGCCGGAAAAGGCGATAGCGTATGCAGAACAAGAAGACATCAGCCTGAGAAAGTCTCAGGCTAACTCGTCAAACTATCGTCGGCCGGTACGACAGAAAACAGGAGGTCCCGAACCAATGGACCTCTGTTACATCAAGAGTGAGAACTCTCGCTCTTTGAGTCACAAGCAAACGGCAAGATGCCACCGCTGTCAGAAGATTGGACACTACGGTCATGAGTGTAGTGTTCCGAGCACCGCAACACGTCGAAAGACAGGACGTGATGACCGCCGTTGGCCAATGCAGGGTCCAAGGCGTGGGTCCGACCATATCGCTAAGTCGCGACAGCGAGTCGGACCGTCAAAAACGGTCAGGGTCAGTAGGGGCGGAGCACCCTGCTGATCCAGCAACTTCAAGAGAATTTGCAGGACTCTTGACGAAGATTGCTCCCTACACACACTCGCTGTGTGTTACTGCACCTAGTGATGAGGAGTCTCTCATCACTTTGAAGATTGAAGTGACAAGTGGAATGTCATTTCGCGCCCTAGTTGACTGTGGTGCGTCGAGCGATTTTGTTCAATATCAGTGGCTGGAAGATAGTACCATCAACTATGCTGAGCGAGAGATCCCTCCAACGAGGATGACGGTGTGCCTTGCAACAGGCGCATCCGTAACAGTGAACAAACGTGTAGTGGGAATCCACTACACGCTAGAAGGAAAGCAAAACGATGATGACTTTATCGTATTAGATTTGGATGAAAAATTTGATGTCATCCTTGGTCTGCCATGGCTTAGAAAAAAACCAGCCATGGGTTAGCTGGCAGCATCGATCCGTGAAGATGCCCGCCGTTTGTCCATCGGATGGCCACCCGATGAATGTCTTGGAGCGTTTACAAGCGCTTGGATGTACTACGAGTGAGTGCGATGGCCTCACTTGTGATACGGTCGTTAGTACGATTGCACAAGATTACAGTGCAGAAGGTCACTGCGCTGTGGAACTAGCTTCCGGCACCTGTGTAGAGACACAGGCTGCGCCGAAGGTTCATCACTCGAAGAGATCGAGTGGAATGGAACACGGATGCACACCAAGAAGGGTGCATCCGAGAAGAGATATTAGTGTCGTTCAGGATGAACAACACGTTGAAGCGAGATCGACTATCAGAGAGTTGATCATAGAGCAAACCCGATCGACTGAAAAAGAGTCGATCGAAGATGACGTGACTGTGGTAGTACACCCACAGTCAGTACACGTACTGGAAGAAAGTTCCAGCGTTCCTGAGAGTGACAACTCCTGAGAGAGTAATGTTGAGGGTGTGGATCCCCGACCACCTGCAGATGTGTTTTCCCAGTAAATCACCGATACAGTGAATGCCTTGGTGAATGACGGATCAAGTGTAGGCGCTTATACACTTGATCTGATTATGCCCCCGAAGTCAGTTTCGGAGGTAGTCAAGTAGCCAACGCTAGAATCTAAAAGATTCCTGCGAGATCTGCGTAGTGACAAGATCAAGCAGATCTGTGAACTCGTCACAGAGGACGAGTGCGTCGCCGATATTCGGTCGGCACAAGTGTTTGCTGAGAACGAACGGATTCTCAGTAGTTCATCTATGGACGAGAGTGTCCTCGTTGAGAAGACCCGGATTGAGCGATACACGTCTCAATCTTGGGAGTCTTTAAAGACAAATCCTTTGTATAAGGATTTGATTGAAATCGGGGATGTTTTCCCGGAATCCTTGCCATGCGAGCTGCCCAAGGACAAAGGCACTAGGCATGAGATAGAACTGAAACCTGGTTCGAAGTACTGTGTCATGAAGCAGTGGCCACTGCCTCGTGAACAGGTCACAGCGACCGACAAATTCGTTGCCGAACGTTTAGCGGCTGGTCATGTGGGGGGATCAACTACCCCACATAGCTCTCCGACCTGCTGTGTGTGAAAGTCCCCAGGAGGGTGGCGGATAGTGCACGCGTTCAACAAACTGAACGCTGCAACGGTACCGGCTCAAACGCCGATCCCAAGAAAGGACGTCATCATTGATGGTATGGCAAAGAGTACCATCTTTTCATCCATATTTTTGATGGATGGTTTCTGTCATATCCTCATGCGTGAACGGGACATCCCTTACACGGCAGTGAGCACCCCCAGTGGTATGCTCTGGGAGTGGCTAGTGATGCCACAGGGGCTAAGTAACGCCCTCGCAATGTTTAACAGATGTGTAACGAACCTGTTGCGATCGGTGCGCGACTTTGCGCCGAGTTACTTCGACGATGTCTTCGTCCATAGCCGGGCTATGGATGGAAAGACGGACGTGGAGGTTCATAGAATCCACGTCCGGAAGGTTCTTACTCGAATGCGAGAGCATAAGTTGTTCGCGAACCCCAAGAAGTGTATATTCGCAGCGAACGAAATACCACTTCTTGGCTGCATCGTGGGTAACCACGGCGTACGCCCTGATCCGGAAAAGACAAAGGAAGTTAGCGACTGGCCTGTGCCAGTCGACGTCAAGGGACTTCGAAAGTTCCTTGGCTTGGCGGAGTACTTGCACAAATACTCGCGCAACTATGCCGAGATGACCGTACATCTCTCTCGTCTACTAAAGAAAAACGAGAGGTGGTCATGGAGTGCTGAGTGTCAGCACTCTTTTAAAGGCATCAAGAAAAGCTTGGTGCAATCTCTTGTGTCGGCGATTGCAGACCAGGACAGACCATTCCATGTGGTCTGTGACACTAGCGATTTTGCAATCGGCTGCGCGTAAATGCAGTACGACCCAGATGGCGTGGAGCGCGTCTTCTGTTATCAATCGCGTCAGCTGCAAGCAGCTGAGCGTAATTACTCAGTGCATGACAAGGAACTCCTTTCCAAGAGATATGCACCGGCTAAGTTTTGATTATATCTCCTAGGAGATAGGCTCTTCATCGTTTATACCGACCATGCGTCATTATACACGGCCGTAAACAGTCCGCACCTCTCGCAACAAATGGCAAGGTGGCTGTCTTTCTTCGCGGAGTACAACTTCTCCGTCGAGTATAAACCAGGACGACTTAATGTCGTTGCTGATGCTCTTTCGCGTCGGCCCGATTTCGAGCCGTCTGATCAACCCAACAGTAGGGGTGATCCCTCTGTCGCGACACTATCAGTGAGTGCTCCGTCGTCGAATCTGCTCAACGACGTGCGAAAAGCATACACAGAAGATGAGTCTCTTCTGCAAATGATGGATTACGTATCCAATCCGTGTAATCAAGCTTTGAAAAGCTTGCCGTCTCAATACCGCTCTTCAACAGAACGGTATTCTGTCCGAGATGGACTGCTGTACTATACAGCATTCAACGGCGACATACCCCGTGTCATCGTTCCGGCTCATAATGATTTGCGACTGCGCATCATGTATGAGTGTCACGATGCCCCAACAAGTGGGCATCGCACTAGAGAAAAGACTTACCTCATGGTGAGTCGTGACTTCTACTGGCCCCGCCAGTATGAGTTTGTGCGAAAATGCTTTCGCGCTTGCGAAGTTTGTCAACGGGTGAAGCCTAGTCCTTCATCCCGCGCACCCTTTCAGCCTCTTCCGATTCCGTCAGAGTGTTGACAGTCCGTACCGATGGACTTCGTCTTCGGGTTTCTTAAAGACTTTCACACGAATACTGGTATCCTTGTGTTTGTTGATCGGTTCAGCAAGATGGTACATCTTGTTGCAGAACCGGAGTCAATCGCAGCCCAGGGCTGTGCGCGTGTCTTCATCGATACTATCTTCCAAGTTCACGGGTTACCCTGTGAACTCGTGTCCGATAGGGACCCCAGCTTTACAGCTGAGTTCTGGCAATCCGTGCTCCGTTCACTTGGAACACGTTTGACGATGTCAACTTCTGACCATACCGAAACAGATGGTAAAACGGAGCGCGTCAACCGCGTTCTAGAAGAGATACTTCGAGGGTATGTCCACTTGTTTACGAGCTGGAGTGAGTTCTTGCCGATGGCGGAATTCGCCATCAATAATTAGGTGCGTGCTTCGACAACGCATCCACCGTTCTTCGTGAATGGCCTACTCCATCCACGTTTACCCGCCTTCTTAGAGTGTGACTCTAGTTTAAGAGGGGGTGGACTCGCTCGAACCAAAACCGATCTGGTTCTTGCTCATGATCCGTCGACAATGGTGTCGACGTGATGGATACCGTTGTCGATGCGATCGATATCGATGATGACGATGACGACGATGCTGGTATATTCAGCATCGCCAATGACCGCCAAAGTGAGGACGATGACGCTCTCAATGATGAAGAAAACGCTCTTTCAGCAGTGCACACGAAGCGCACTGCTGTTGACAAGGATGAATCAGCAGAGGAATTTCTACTGACTCGCGAAGCGGTTGTCCGCTTCGTTCAAGACTCTATTGCAGATGCACTAGACAGACAGAAGAGAAACGCAGACAAACATGGAAGAGAAAATGTTCTTTCATTTGACGAAGGAGGCCTGGTTTTACTGTCTACAGTAAACTTACCAAGACACGCAGTGACAAACGTGGGCAGCAGCAAACGACTCCCAAGAACATCTGTCCACTTTGTGTTTTGCACCGCATGGGCAACGCATACACGATTGAACTTCTCCGTAATATGCGTACGCATCCTAAGCTTTTCGTCGGTCGTCTCCGCCCGTACTATCAGTACGAGCCCGTTTCGAGATGCGAAGAACACCTACACATTCGAGAGCCGAGACACCCTCGAGTGGTCCCGTTTCAACGAGCCAGTCTGGTCGACTAGCGAAGCGACCTGTTCCCGCAGCTCAGCGATGTCTCGACGAGCTACAGCCAGCTCGTCACGAAGAGAATGAGTCGAATGTTCGTTCTAAAGTTGCGTGAACGTAGATGCGGCACGATAGTTCGAACGATCGTGCGTTAAGGAATAATAATCAGCCTTTATAATGTCATCAAGTCCATAGCGTCGTGTCCGTTCGCGAGCCAGGTCATCTTGCAACTGTTCCGTTACACGGTTCATCTCTTGAACATCAAGCTGATCCGAACCTCGAGCCGGATCAGGTGTTCCCGCCGCCACCACGTCATTTAGTGGACTCAAGCGGTGGTAAACTCTTCCTAGTGGAGCCTATCTTGAACTACCGCGATGTGAATGGCGTCCGGACCAGTTACCTCGTCCGCTGGCGTGGCTATCCACCGGCGTGGGACAGCTGGGAGCCTCGTGACCAGCTCATTGTTGATGTCCTTGGCCTCGTCGAGCAGTACGACGATACCCAGGTGCTGCATTTGAAGAAGGGCCGTCGGAAAACGATCTCCCCAACGCGAGTACTGGGATTGCAAAGTGTTTATCCCTTCGGCCATCTCGGAAGAGATGCGCGCCCTCCAGTAGAGATTATTAGGGAGGAAGGCCTCCCTAGGGGCACGGTTCGAATTGTCCAGGCAACCTGGACACGAATCACCCCACGCGAGACAGGGTAATCGTGCCTATCTTGAAAGTCGGTGCAACTTGTATCGCGCCCGACTAGGTTGCGTTTCTCAAACCTGATGCGAGCTGCATCAAGTTTGACGAGCCAGGCCTCACGGCCGATGCACTCGATGTTGCGGATGAGGGCATTCCATCCCTGCACCAAGGATCTGCCATCTCGTACACGGCTATCATTGTACCACCGATGTTTGAAGAACGCATCGGTGATGAACTCTGCCTCAGCACGGATAGTTTTTGTGCTGGAATCAGGTGGGCAAATTTTCCTGTAATCGAACAACGGAATTCGAACCCGTTCTGTAGTCATGCCGGCCAACCGTTCCAACTCTCTGGATGGCGGCATCCACGGAGACTCCACTTGAGGAGCGTGGCGCAGGACGTTTCGGTCCCTGGCCTCTTGATTGGTGCCAGCATGAGCACTGGCACCAGTTTTACCCGATCCCTTGAAATTTCTTCGCTCGTGGTGATGTATAGGTGGATCACCACCATCTCCACGCGTCCTATCGTTAGATGGACTAGCGTGAGGCGGAGACTCATCGGAATAAGCACTCGGTCCGAAGATCTCGGTCATGATACTGCCGCGCTGACTAGAGCCAGTCAGCCTAGATTTTGCAGCGTCCGCCCCGGGTGATCCCGAGGCGTAAGGAGTCGCCTTCGAGTCGGATGCATCATCCGACTCGCCGGAATAGATGATCTCTATCGTATACTCGTCTTGATTACGATTCGAGGTACCCGCTGCAGACGCAACGGATGTACCTGTCGCACGCGGTGACTCACCACGTGGAGGATTCACGACAACAGGCGATGAATCGCCTGCTGCTGAGGCGTGAGAGACACTTTCCGCGGCCGCAAGCATGCGTGCAGCCGCTCTTCTTGCTGCTGCAGTAGCAGCTCGCGTGGTTTTGGAAACCATGCGTTGGATGGGCAAATGAATGGAGTTTGACCAACAAGTGCTCCCTTCCCAGAGTGGTCCAACAGTATTCACCCTGTCCCAATCAATTTTAATTCAATCAACGGGTGATTGATGGTTATGGGAGGGGGTGATGTAACGCGGTAGCCCAATACATGATATTGACACCAAACGGTGTCAATAGGGAGATTGTCTAGCATGACAATATCCTACCAATATTATCCGAGATGGATAATATCAAAGGAATGTTATCCTCCTTTGATAATATTCATGCACTGCTTCAAGATTGGTCGATAAAGACATATTAACCATAGATTACCAACAATCGCTGCTAGGCGCGCGCAATGAGTGGTGAGCAGGTTGTCTTCATACGAAGACGTAGTTTAACACAGTCAGATAAAGATTAAAGTTACAGTCTTCCCTCTGCTAAGTTGTAGACTTGGTGGAAGGCAAATCCTATAACATAGCAGAGGACATTCCATAGCAGAGGTATGCTGCGGAATAATTATTAATCTAACTAATTAAAGAATCAAAAACGCAACAAACCTCCAGGCTTCCAAAACCTGTCTGTCACGTGTCACGTGCCTTATGAAGATTTTGTGATTTTGGTTGCCCCACCAGTCTCTGGTGATTTTGCTATCTCTAATTAAGAAGTTCCACCAACTGTACCTTGCTCACTCACAACAGATGTCGCAGATACGTCTTACCAACGAGCAGAAGCTGCGCATCTGCAAGCACCAGGATGCTAACGCGTGCATCACCCAGACTGCCCTGGCGGCTTGGACAAAGGACGCCTTTGACCTCCAGAAGGCACATTCCCATGCAGCGATTAGCAAAATCATCAAAAATAGGAAGGAGCTTGAGGCAATGGACACCACTGACCTCAGCGCTAAGCGTCCTCTGACTGTCCAGCACCCAGCTGTGGAGGAGGCCGTCGCCTTCTGGGTCTTGCAGTGCCAGCACCGTGGGGTCGCTCTCACTGGAGATCTCATACGGGCCAAGGCTCAGACCTTTGCGGGATCAATGGGCGTCTCGGAGGAAAACATCAGCTTTTCGCATGGGTGGCTCCACAAATTCCAGCAACGCCACAAACTGCGAGCTGTCCGCATTCATGGCGAGAGTGGCTCAGCAGATGTGGGCGCTCTAGAGGAGGCTCTTCCACACCTCAAGGCCGTGGTTGCTGGTTATGCGCCACGTGACGTGTACAACATGGACGAAACTGGTAGGTCTGAGAATACAGTACAGTACTGTACTCATTGTACAGTACAGAAGCATCTCAAAGGCTCACTTTCTGTTCAGGTTTGTTCTACAGTATGACGCCCGACAAAACGATCGCCCAGCAAGAGGTCGAAGGGTTTAAAAAAGGCAAGGTACATTATTGCTCTCCTCTTGGTTTCCTGCGTTTCTCCAACACTAACAACTATTCTAGACGCGCATCACAGTTGCTCTCACGGCAAACGCTGATGGATCCGACAAACTCCCGCCGTTCTTCATTGGACACGCCAAAAAGCCGCGGTGTTTTGAGCGCAAGACAGCTGAGCGACTGGGCTTTCTCTACCGCAACAACAAGAAAGCCTGGATGACTGGCATACTCTTCCAGGAATGGCTGTGAGACGTCGACAAAAGTATGAAGGTAATTTGGGGCATGCCTTGCACATAATCGTTGTGGTACAGTAAAGGAGGTTTGACTAACGCGTTGACCACAGCAAAAGGATAGAAAAATCCTGCTTCTCATGGACAACGCTCCTTCACACATTGTTGCTGACCTGGAACTCACCAACATCACGGTCCAGGTTCTTCCTCCTAATACGACTTCAAAGATCCAACCCATGGATGCTGGGATTATTGCCGCATTCAAGAGGCACTACCGCCGGCTGCATCTGCAGAATGCCTTGGACCGTGACGAGCGCGGAGAAACCAACCTTTACAAGGTTGATCAGCTCACGGCCATGCGTTAATCGCTGGCTGCGTGGAGCGAGATTTCCAGTGCCACAATCGCCAACTGCTTCCGTCATACAGGACTCATGGACGGTCCGGCTCTGCCGACTGGTGGGGGTGAAAACGAAGCCGGCACTGTTGGCCAGCAGGCCCAGCAGGAGGCAGCAGCTGCTGCAGTAGAGGAGCAGCGCGTGGAACAGGATCTTGTTTCGGCGCTGGAAAGGCTCCCGCTCCGCAATCCCATGTCGATCGCTTCTCTTCTCAATCCGGCTGAGGAGGAGGAGACGGCGCATGCGGAGCTGACTGATGCCGAAATCATCAAGCTTGTTGAGGATCCGTATGGGGAGGAGGAAGGTGCTGCTGAGGCGGAGGAGGAGGTGGAAAAGCATTCGAAGACTGAAAAGCTTGCCAGCCTTAGTCTATCCATCGCCCTTCTCGACCTTTCTCAGGAGTCCCATCGTATAGCTCACCGGACCCTTCGCCAAGTCCAAGCTGATCTCCGTTGTGCGAGCACCACTCAGGCCACACTTGATTCCTGGCTGAAGTAGTTCCCTCTCCTCTTTCCACTCCTTTCTTGCAGTGAATAACAAAAAAATGGTTCTGCGTACAATATTTCTGCTCACGGCGGACAAAAAAATTCCCTCTGATAAGTTGCATTTGGCCCTCAGGCTATTCCGTATAACTTATTCCGTAGTCACCATAGAACGAGGTCGGTGGAGACCGAATCCTATAACTTACCGGAGGTTATTCCGTAGCCGGGGATAACTTAGCAGAGGGTGTATATTGATAGCTAAACGATGTTAAATACAGTTCTCTTTTACCCTTACTTGAACGAGTCGTTCAAGTAGATTAGCTTCATCTGCACGTACTAGTGTACGTGAAATTTTGCGCCACCGCAAACAAAGGGTGCCCCGTTTCACTACTTACCACTCATTGCGCGCGTCTAGCAGCGATTGGTGGCAGTCTATGGTTGAACGTCTTACATCAACCAATCTTGGAGCAGCGCATGAATTTTATCGAAAGGGGATAATTTTCCTTCAGTATTATCCATCTCGGATTATTTTGGTAGAATATTGTCATGCCGGACATGATCTCTATTGGCACCGTTTAGTGTCAAAATCATGTAACGGGCTACCCCGTTGCACTCGTTGCTTTGTTATGCTGCTGGGAGCTACTAATTATCTGCGATCTCAGCTAACAACATTACATAATCGTTTACAGGTGCTCCTATTGAGTCGAGCTTTAAAGCTGAGAGTCTCGTCAGAAACCGATCAAAAAAAATTCATTTCGGCGTGTGCATTGTGCATGTAGGTCTCCCTTTTATATAGTGATCATGGTTGTTCTTACGGCACATTTTTCTATAACATTTTGGTGTTTAGAACCAGCCCGGCCACTCTACATAAAGAGAACCAGCTTTGTGGAGCTACATTATTGCCTGTATTATTTTTAACAGCTGGTGAAAACAAAATTAATGGTGGCATCATCATAGCCTACCAAACGTTTTAGCATGTGGTACCAACCTTAAAACCGGTAAAACGTGTTAATAACTTTTATATCCGTGACTTGTCACCCAACATTCCTTCTGTAAATGACTGCTTATGGTCCGAGAAGTGTGACAGCGGCCCCGAAGAATCGTCCAATCGAACATTTCAACATCATTGTGTGTAAACAAAGCAAAGGATCGAAGCTTCATATGTTGGCTCTCATGCGGTGAGTCACGTGCTTCCGAACAGCGTGCCGTCGCGTGTCACCGGACTTGCAGTGGGAACTGCACTGTGCGAGCCAGAGCTTCTTTGCCGGCCGCAAGGGAGATGTGCCATCGTTTTATGCGCTAGCGGCCTTCTGAGTTCAACTGGTCCTGACGGCATCAGCGTCCGGATCTGAAGCAGTTTCACAACAAAAAGTGGTCGACATTACCTGAAAAGAGCTTCGCTATACGACTGCTTCTGGTCCGAGAAGCGACAGCGGCTCCGAAGGATCGTCTAACCACCATTTGTGTAAATAAAGCATCGGATCAATGCTTCATTTCCTCATGCGGTGAGCACGTGCCCCCACCGCCCCCCCCCCCCCCCCCACCCACAAGAAAACCCCGAAACCACACTTTTTTCCCCCACCAAGGGAGATGTGCCATCGTTTTTTGCGCTAGCGGCCTTCTGAGTTCAGCTGGTCCTGACGGCATCAGTGCGAGCCTCTCTCGCAACGTCCGTGTCACCCCTTTCACAAGTCTATTTCATAAAGTTATGCAATGGTTACCTAGGTCGCCCGGATTAATTAGTAAGGTTTAACAAAGAAATTGGGTCGGAAAGAGAAGAGATTCATTGTGCACCATTCATTTTATAGCTCTTCAGCTCGAGTGAGTTGTAGAGCGAGTGGGGTCTTATCTGCAACAGTCAGCCACTTCGCAATTTCTCTTCCCCGTTCAATATTCGAGCCCGAGCATGCTATTCATCAGCCTCACCCTAGTTGCGTCAACCGCCCTCCTTCGTCTAACTGATAGTGCCACGGTCGAAGCCGATGTCTGGACGACGAGTCAGAAGGACACAACCGCTGTCACGCATGTAAATGCTGATCACTACGGCTCTTCTTCGACAAGGCAGCTGCGGTCACAAGTACCGATTCCCGGGATGGAGGATTCTGCGATTGTGTTGATTGCAAGCCGTGTCAGGCCGTCTCTAGAAGAAGTGAGTACTGACATCAGGGCCTTCAAGAAACGAAAGACAACAGGTTCATTTCCTGAGAGCGTCTTAGGCGGTAACTATCCCAAGTGGCCGCGAGACTTTGTTTCCTCCGAGATCATGTCTGCCGTTTTCGCTGCTGAAAAGATGATTAAGAGCGCTGAGCTCTTGAAAAAGGCTCAACGTGTGGAGCTGCAGACGATCGGAAGAGGGCTTGCCTTAGACCTTGTCGACGAGAACGCAAAGATAGAATGGAGTGTGGAGAGACTTGTTGCGGCCAATATGCCCCGACATGATAACTCTTTCACACGTTTCCATAACATTGTCGCTAATTCTCTCCTATTTTTCTCGCTGTCCGACTCAGAACATTCCCTGGCCAGTAAGTATGTGAGTGGGATGTTGCAAACATATATGAACAATCAGCCTCAGTATCACTTTTTGAGTTCAAAGCAGATGCTTCGTCTGGCTAAAAAGCCAGAGGTCGATTCGCGATTCCTGCTTCGTCTCCTGCGCATGGAAGGTGACACCGGTTTAACCATTTCCCTCACCCTGATGAAGATGTTAGGCAACCGCGACCAGCAAGAGTTCGCGACGAAGTATTTCGATCTTCTTCAAGATTCCATTGCCAGCATTCGTCTCACCAGAACTTAGTTCGTTACACTCCAGAGTTGTTGGTAAAACGCATTTACACTCACAGGACATGTTTCTAAGGCGTGTAGACGTAATAAATTCAAGTTTACGATTTTCTTTTATTGATCCTGAGACTTAACTACAGATTTTATCTCGGTACCGCCACGGTTGTATGTGAGATCCGAATAGGGATGTAAGGTTTGTTAGAGATAGGAGTTATCAGGCTAGCCTTTTCTTTTAGCGAAAACGCACCACTGTCTGACCGTTTGGAAAACGGTGGATTTAAAAAAAAATACATTACGAGTACAACACTTAACCGAAAATTCGCTTCTTGCAGCTAAAAATGATCAAAGCATGTATAACAAGATTGTGTCCGCAACATCAAGCCTTCCACAAGTACAAGGAATAGAGATCCAAATTAAGATAAATGAGCTCCATGAAAAGGCGCAAGTATAAACATCGTTTAAATGTTGCTCCTTTTGCTTACATAAGAGGGCTGTAAGCATATTGCTCTTTTTGCTTGAAATTATAAAGGTTGTGAGCATTTTTGCATGGCCCTTTCCATACTTATTGTCCAGCAGTCCGATCCAAAATAAAGCATGCTCTGAGCAATTCTTACTGATCGTAGACGAATAATATCATTAATGATCGCAATGCCAAAACTACGATGCATCTCACAAGCGATCATAATAAAAAAAAGGTTTCGAGACGCCTTGCTTCGCCCGATGATGGCGTTTTTCCTTCCAAAGTCCTAACAGTACCCTAAATACGCTCGGATTATCATTTTACTTGTTTCTGTTTGAGCAGATTAGTATCCTGGTCTTCTGCGCACTTCAATCGTGGATGCCGTCGGCTTGGACTCGACAAGTTGTTACATGTACCTCTCAATTTTTTGTGCACCTTGTAACGGGGCACCCTGAAGCTTGTACTGGTGACAGTACAAGAAGAAGCGAGTACTTGGTTAGAGTAAAAAGTAGAACTGTATTTATAATAGTTAATGTCTGCAATAAATCACTATTTGTCTTCATCTAACTATGTCTAAATACAAATGTGTAGATCAGTTATCTGCTCACCACTCATTGCGTGCGTCTGTCGTGGCGCGTCTTCGTTGGTTCATACAATGGCCTATATCAACCAATTGGGAACTACTCGTAAGTGCTACAGAATATTTGTCCTTATGACAATATTCCGAGAATATAACTCTTACAGTTAAATTCTATTAACAATTTCTTATAAATTGTTATGCAACGATTCACCCCGTTACTTCACCCCCCCTTAACCATCAGTCACTTTAGTGACTGATTGACTAAATGGATACTCGACCCAAATCATTTGGGACAGGGTTTGCACTAGTTGGTCCGAGTCCACTTTCCAACAGTTCATCTCAAGGTTAACAAGTCCATGCGGTTCGCGAGCAAGGCCGCCGAGAGAGCGTCTGCACGTCTCTGTGCGGACGCCGAAGCAGAAACCACAGCAACTGATGTCTCATCGGTTGCTGAAGCGACCCAGCCTGTGTCACCAGCGACCCTATTAATTATGAACGCGCGCATTGAGTGTGAGCAAGACTTTAGCATACACATTTGTCGATAAAAATGATTCAGCTAGTTAGTACTAATCATAGGTAAATTTATTCAGAGCTTAACTGTAGTAACCAGTTTTACTTTCCACTCCTATTGTAACGGGGTGAATCGTTACATAACAATAAATAAAAAACTATTAATAGAATTTAACTATAAGAGTTATATTCTCGGAATAGTGGCATAAGGACAATATTCTACAGCACTTACGAGTATTTCCTAATTGGTTGATATAGGCCATTGTATGAACCAACAAAGACACGCCACGACAGATGCACGCAATGAGTGGTGAGCAGATAGTTGATGTGCACATTTGTATTCAGACATAGTTAGATGAGGATAAACAGTGGTTTATTAACAGACATTAACTATTATAAATACAGTTCTACTTTTACTTAAACTAAGTACTCGCTTCTTCTTACCGTCTTCCTCTGCACGTACCAGTGTACGTGAAGTTACGAGGCACCGCCTTATTCTGTCATCAGAATAAGCAGCTTGTACTGTCACCAGTACAAGCTTCAGGGTGCCCCGTTACACCTGGTAGCACTTCGTAGTCCGTCCAAGGACCGCGTTCACATCCAACATGAATATGTTGGATGATGAAGATGACCAAAGCTTTCACGCTACGCGTGACGGCTACTCCTTTTTGAGCGATGTCGAATGGGATGCGGTTGAACGGATGGGTTCAACCATGGGCATCCATGCTGTTAGCGTCATGCTAGAGGCTCTCAATAGAGATGCTCAACATGCTACTATCGCCAAATTCATTTAAAATGAACTTGACGCTGGACGCTAGAAAGTAGCCTTGCTTCACCAACAAGGTTCTCAACAATCAGAGTGGGTCGATGCACTCGTGTCGACCCGAGACCTTGAAGATTGACATCTCCAAGTGTAGGGGAGTCGAAGAGAACTCCATCTTGAGATGGTTCGACGAATTAGACGACGCCATAAGGGCGCGTCGCATCGACTATGGGGATATGCAAGTTTCATTTGACCAGTCAAATCTGGCAGGACGTGCCAAGACTTGGGCACTGGGGCTCAAGTTGCACGACCCATATGCGTTTGAGTCGTTGGAAGTCTTCAAGTCGCGGTCAAGACAAACGTTTGAACCGCCTAGAGCTGAGTTCAGAGCTCGAACCGAACTCTTGAAGCTCAAACAGGGTGAGCGTGATGTGCACGCTTACGCTTAACATGTACGACATCTCACGAGTTGTATAAGTTCCAATCCGGTGGATGAACACACGTTGGTGTCGGTGTTTATGCAGGGTCTTGCGGATGGTCCCGTCAAGACTCACCTGTTTCGACTTGAACTAGATTCACTAGAACAAGCCATTTCCATTGCGGAGCAGAAAGACTTCAGTCTGAGACAGGCTCGCGCCAGCTCTACATCATGTCTTTCACCGAGACGATATGACAACGGAGGTCCAGAGCCGATGGAACTCTGTTATGTAGAGAGCGAGAAGGCTCGCTCTACAGGCTAAAAGAAGTTGCAGAAATGCAACAGACGTCAAAAGACAGGACACTACGCTTACGAGTGTAGTGCCCCTCGTCCAGTGTCTTGCAACACTGGGCGTAATGACCGTCAACCCATGATAAAGGGGCAGGGACGCGGGTCCGCTGTTGGTGCAAAGACGCAACAACGGGATAGACCGTAAAAAACGGACAGGATCAGTAGGTGCGGAGCACCCTACTGGTCTAGCAACGTCAAGAGAATTTGTAGGCCTCTTGATGAAGGTTGCTCCCAACACACAAACGTTGTGCGTTGCTGATCTAAGTAATGAGATCTCCCTCATTATCTTGAAACTCGAAGTGACGAATAAGTTGTCCCTTCGAGCTCTAGTCGATTGTGGGGCGTCCAACAATTTTGTGCAACGCCAATCGCTAGAAGATGGTCACTTTAAGCTCAGTGAATGTGACACACCTCCGACGAGGATGACGGTACGTCTTGCGACAGGCGCATCCGTAACCGTCATGCAGCGTATAGTGAAGATCCACTATACGCTAGAAGATACCCAATATGATGATGACTTTGTCGTATTGGATTTGGATGACAAATTTGATGTCATCCTTGGAATATTTTGGCTCAGAAGGTACGAACCACGAGTAAACTGGCAACATCGAACAGTAACGATGCCTGCCGCTTGCTCATCAGATGGCCATCTGATGAACGTTTTGGAGCGTCCACAAGCGTGTGGATGTACTACGAGTGAGTGCGATGGCCTCACATATGGTACGGTCGTTAGTACGACTGCACAGAACCTTAGTGTACCAAACGGTTACACTTCGGAGCAAAGTTCCGGCGACTGTGAGGAAACACAGGCTGCGCCGAAGGTCCACCACTCGAATAAGTCGGGTGGACTGGGACAACGATGTATCCCTAGAGGGGAACATCTAGAAGAGAAACAATCGATCGCTCAGGTTAAGCGAATCGATAATCCTAGATCGACTGGAGAGCCTTTCTTAGAGGATCTCGCTGTGGTTGCGCAGCCACAGCTAGAGAAAGTTCAGGGAATAAGTCCCGATATTACAAATACGGCGGAAATAAGTTCCCCGAAACCCGCGGGAATAAGTCCCCGGGAAGACGAAGGAATAAGTCCTTCAAAGCCTGAGGGAATAAGTCCCCAGGAAATGACAGAGACATTGAATGTCCTAGTCAATAACGGATCATGTGTAGGCGCTTATACACTTGATCTGATTGCGCCTCCGAAGTTAACTTCGAAGATCACTCAGTTGCCAACGCTCGAACATAAAAGGTTCTTGCGTGATCTGCGTAGTGGCAAAGTCAAGCAGATCTGCGTACTCATCGCTGACGACGAGTGCGTAACCGACATAAGGTCAGCAACAATGTTTACTGAGAACGAGAGACTTCTCAGTAGTTCATCTATGGACGAGAGTGTCCTAGATGAAAAGACACGAATTGAGCGATATGACTCCCAATCGTGGGAATCGCTCAAGACAAATCCTCTCTATGAAGATTTGGTTGAATTCAAGGATGTATTCCCTGAAACTGTTCCGTGCGAATTACCGAAGGATAAAGGTATTCGACACGAGGTTGAGCTTAAACCAGGCTCGAAGTACTGTGTCATGAAGCAGTGGCCACTGCCTCGTGAACAAGTACTTGCGATCGACAAGTTCTTTGCCGATCGTTTAGCTGCGGGCCATATGAGGGAATCAACTTCCCCACATAGCTCTCCGACCTTCTGTGTGCGAAAAGCAACAGGAGGGTGGAGGATATTGCACGCGTTCAACAAATTGAACGCTGCAACGGTACCGGCTCAGACGCCGATACCGAGGAAGGACGTAATCATTGATGGTATGTCAAAGAGTACCATCTTTTCGTCCATGGATTTGATGGATGGCTTCTATCAAATCCTAATGCGGGAACGGGATATACCCTATACCGCAGTTAGCACGCCTAGCGGCATGCTCTGGGAATGGCTAGTAATGCCACAAGGGCTCAGTAATGCCCCTGCCACGTTCAACAGGCGTGTATCACATCTGTTGAGACCAGTACGAGAATTCGCGCCGAGTTATTTCGATGACGTATTCATCCATAGTCGAGCTATGGATGGAAAGTTGGACGTTGAGGTTCACAGGTACCACGTCCGACAGGTTCTTACAATCATGCGAAAGCATCAATTGTATGCTAACCTCAAGAAGTGTATATTTGCAGCAAGCGAAATACCACTTCTTGGGTGCATCGTTGGTAAGAACGGTGTACGTCCTGATCCCGAAAAGATCAAGGCGATCACCGACTGGCCTGTGCCGGTTGATGTCAAAGGTCTTCGAAAATTCCTCGGGCTAGTGGCGTATTTGCACAAGTATTCACGCAATTACGCCGAGATGACTGTACACCTCTCTCGTTTGTTGAAAAAGAACGAGAGGTGGTTATGGAACGCTGAATGTCAGCGCTCCTTTGATGGTATCAAGCAGAGCTTGATATAATCCCCAGTCTTATCAATTGCCGATCAGGACAGGCCATTTCATGTGGTCTGTGATGCCAGCGATTTTACAATCAGCTGTGCACTAATGCAGTACGATCTTGAAGGCGTTGAACGTGTCGTCTGCTATCAGTCGCGTCAGCTGCAACCAGCTGAGCGGAACTATCCAGTGCATGACAAGGAGCTCCTTGCCATGAAGTAAGCACTCGATAAGTTCAAAGTCTATCCATTGGGAGATAGACCCTTCATTGTTTACACAGATCATGCGTCATTACGCACGGCAGTAAACAGCCGCAACTTTCACAACGAATGGCGCGGTGGTTGTCATTCTTTGCAGAATACAACTTTACGGTCGAGTACAAACCAGGACGACTTAATGTCGTCGCTGATGCACTCTCACGTCGGCCCGACTTTGAATTAGTCGTGAAACCCAACAGTGAGACTGCCACTGATGCGGTTATGACGACCTCAGTCCCATCTTCAACGTTATATGATGATGTGAGGCGGGCTTATGCCCAAGATGGTGAGATTGTGAAGCTGCTAACACATCTCTAACAACCATCTCGAGAATCGTTGAAACGATTGTCGCCTGCGTATCGATCTGCATCAGATAGATACACTACTCGTAACGGTTTACTGTATTATACAGCCGTTTCTGGTGACACACCACGTGTTGTCATTCCAGATGATACTGATCTGCGTTTGCGGATCATGTTCGAGTATCACGATGCTCCTATAGGAGGACATAGTGGCCTTGAGAAGACATATCTTACGGTGAGTCGAGACTTTTACTGGCCCCGCCAGTTTCAGTTTGTGCGAAAGTATGTTCGCGCATGCGAAGTCTGTCAACGAGTGAAGTCAAGTCCTTCACTGCGTGCACCTTTACAGCCTCTACCGGTTCCGGCAGAGTGCTGGGAATCCATCTCAATGGATTTCGTCTTCGGGTTACCCAAAGACGCACGCGGGAATACGGGTAGTCTCGTATTTGTTGACAGATTCAGCAAAATGGTACACCTTGTGGCTGTACCAGAGTCAATCACGGCAAGTGGCTGTGCTTGTGTCTTTATTGACACCATCTTCCAACTTCATGGGTTGCCCCGTGAACTCGTATCAGACAGAGATCCACGCTTCACTGCTGATTTCTGGCGTTCCGTGTTCAAATCACTCGGAACACGCTTAACGATGTCGACATCTGATCATCCAGAGTCAGATGGTCAAACGGAACGCGCCAATCGTGTCCTCGAAGAGATACTTCGAGGATACGTACACTCCTTTAAGAGTTGGAGTGAGTTTTTGCCGATGGTATAGTTTGCCATCAACAACTCGGTGCATGCGTCCACGACGCATACACCGTTTTACGTGAATGGCTTGCGCCATCCGCGTGTACCCACCTTACTAGAGTGTAACTCTGGTTTAAGGGGGGGAGGGACTCGCGCGAGCAAAAACCGATTTGGTTCACGCTCATCACGCTCTGACGAAGAGGTCATTGCGTTTGATGCCGATATCGATAACATCGATATCGAAGAAGATGATGCCAGTGAGAGTGCGGAAGCCCTCACTGAAGACAATGATCCCAGTGAGAGTGCGGAAGCCCTCACTGAAGAAAAGGTTGATGTTGCTGCAGTGCGCTCACAGCGCACTGAAGCTAAAGAGTCATCAGATGAGTTCATACTGGCTCGTGTAACGGTAGTCCGTTTTGTGCAAGACTCCATCGCCGAAGCGGTGGACAAGCAAAAGCAAAACGCTGACAAGAATGGAAGGGCAAACACTCTTTTATTTAATAAAGGTGACTTAGTCCTACTGTCTACGGTTAATCTACCAAAGCATGTAGTGACTAACTTGGGTAGCAGTGAACTACTACCCAAGTACATCGGCCCATTTCGTGTATTGCACCGCCTAGGCAACGCATACACGATCGAGTTACCACGTAAGATGCGAACGCATCCCACGTTTTACGCTGGTCGGCTTAAGCCGTACCATCAGTACGCTGCTTCTTCCGATGAAGAACCCCCTTGCGCTCAAGCATCTCGCAGAGAGCCTTGTGCTCCCGATGGTGGGCATCAACAAGGGTCTGAAGAGCAGCTATCTCATCCCGAGACCGATCAGCAATCCCACGAGCTACCCTTAGCTCGTCACGAAGAGATGTCAGAGATCTCTCGTTCTCAAGCTGAGCAAAGGCAAACTCATCTCGATGCTTCGAGACAGCGTCCGCCAGTTGGAGACGCCTGTCCCGCTCATGTTCGAGATCG